GCCTCTTTCTTGATGCCTTCACCCCATGCAAGCACAAGCTCAGGGACACACACCACCACCATTATCCAGAGGCCACAGGGTATGTTACTCATGCCAAGTACTTGGCCCTGGATAACTCATCATCCAGTGAAAAGTCGTGCTAGTTTACCAATAGTTGCATTCCCCGACAGCAGCTGCTACTGCCAGCACGCAGCTGCGCCATGTTCCAAGATGGCTGAACAGCTGCAACAGCTGCCTGGGGTGAAGAATCGAGGTGAGGCCAGAATGAACCTTTCATCAGAATTTAATGCAGCCAAGGGGAGCGCTAAGGCAAAGAAGTTGTTTGGGGTCTCAAATGGCACACACCACGTGATAAATAATGAAAGAGGGGCAATATAATCACACTGCAAACAGCGCCAAGCCAAGAATAATCATTTATTTGATAACATAAAAGCTAGTCATTTTATCTGCCTGTATACTTGCTAAATAAATAGTATTCAAAAAACAGTATGGAGTTGCATATCACTGTATGTGGTAGAAAGAGTGAGGACTGTGGAGTCAGCCCAGTTGGCACCTGCACAGTGACATATGGCTGCACGAGCTGGACAAATAGCCCGACCTCCCTAAGCCTCATTCGGCTCATGTATAAAATTGGCGTAACACATAGTTTTTACATACAATACATATAATGCCTGGTTCATAGTAAGCATTCCATAAACATTAGCTCCTGTGATGTATAGTTATTCTTTGTAAGCAGCAGTTTTCTCCTATGAAAAATCAGTATAATGTCTATGTAAGCTTGTTATGAGAATTAGAAATAGCACTTATAAGTAACTGGCAAATGGTTGATGTTCAAAAATGTAAAAATTCATACTTTGGGGATGGCAGAGGGAAATTTAAATTGCAGTTAATGGAAATTGTGTGCTCTAGCTGATTTCCTATGGCTTCAATCCTCTAAATTACAAAGCAGTACTGGTCAGCAGAAATATAACACAAGACATGAATGTAATTTAAAATTTTCTAGTGATCATACTTAAAAAGGGAGAAATGGGTAACATTAATTTATTAAACCAAATAAATCTAAAATATCCATTTCAACAATAATCAATATAAAATGCTATTTATATATTTTATTCTTTTAAAAGATCGTCAAGATCTGGGGTCTATTTTGTGTATACGGTACATCTCAGATTAAACTAGCTAGATTGCAAGTTTACATGTGCTAGTGGTTACTATTTTGGGCAGCACAGATATTGTCACTTGACATTCATCTAAACAGTCAGCTTTGGAATCAATCCTGTCCTCAGACAGGAGACACTTGAGATCCTAAGTTCAATGTCCAAGGTGACTTAGAATAGTCATTCTCTTCTTAAACGGGTCTCCCCTATCTCCAGTTCCATCAAGCTTCTGTTATTCAGATCCTACCTCATGGCACAGTCTCCCCAAGACTGAAGGATTTACAAGAACAAGAGGCCACAGAGCTGAAACATCACCCCACTGCTAAGTCCACTTACCAAGTCTCTATGGTTTTGCACCATGAAACACTTGTTCACATCTGTATTCCCCATATATCACCATCCTGCTTAGAGCCCACCTCCAGAGTATCTCCTAAAAGATAAGCATCACATACTGGTCTACAAATGGACAGAGTCCTGGAGACGGAAAGCCCTCAATGATCATGTAGTCAGAGGGCACACCACAGAGGAAGGCTATAACAAAATTGTGGAAATGATGGTAGAGGAGTGGTTTCAAAGGCTCTAAGGATAGAATTCTGTCAGATCTGCAGACTGCCTTGCCCCAGTCTTGCTTAGGATGTACACAGACTGGACTATGTGGCGAAGGGTTAGAAATCATGGCATGAAAAACATAAAATAAGCCGGAGAGCAAGCTTATTTATCGGCTGGTGAGTGGACAAGACGAGTTTCTGCGACTGTCCAAAAGAAGTCAAAAACTTCTTACCACCCAGCACTGCCACTCACACAGACTGGATTTTTGTGCAGTACAAGCACACAGTCAGTCCGCTTGTGACTGACAGTCCTGGGACAGGTCAGATGAATATAAGCAAAATGTTCTCCATGGCAGAGTAGAAACAATTGATTTGGGGAGGGGAATATTGCCAACTAAGTGGAGGGAATTGACAGTGAGTTTGTCAACAGTATCCTAGGGAATAACAATTTTGTAGGGTGATGAGATGTGGAAAAGGGTCAGGCAGGAAAGGAGAAGGGAAATACAGGATTGAAACTGAGATGAAGTCAAGTCAGGAGATTGGAGGATGGAAGGAAGGCTAAATATAAATTCCTCCATAATCCTCAAGACATTGTGGGGGACACTTGGTTTTTCTCAAAATATGCAAGATGTGGGTTTGAGTGTATTCTATTTAAATCTTAAATGCTCAAGTTCCTTGAGAAGACACAGGCAGATAGATGATTTCTTGCTTATATACACACTGACTGACCAACCATATACTCTGGTTGACCATAAGCCCTGGATACTTAGTATATACCTGCTGAATAAATGGATTATGGTTTAGACTAACAATTGACTCTTAAATTTGGCTGTTATCAGAATTACCTGGAGAAGTTAATAAAAACAGATTTATTCACCTTAACCACAGAGATTCTGGCAGTGTAGGTGGGGGGTGAGGCCCTAAAACTCACACTTTTAATGAGAGTTCCAAGTGATTCCATTTGGGAACAGCTAGGCCCAGGTACAATTCCAGAATCTTCCAGTCCTAAGATTTCATGTCTCTGATCAGAAATTAGATCATTCCAGGCAGTACTGAGAGCCCTTTATGCAACCTGTGATCTTCAAAGACGGGCTGGGAGAATCAACTGCCGCAGCAAGTCCTCAGAGCTCACTAAAGTATCTTCACTCAATGTTGGTGGACCAATGTTGGTGTATCAATGAGAGCCCAGGATTTTTCTCTAGCTGGACCCTAGCATAGATGAAAGTTGATGTCTAAAGTCAACCTCCTAAACACTGAGTAAAAAATATATGCTTACCTGGTAAAACTGTCCATTTTTACTGATTATTGATGGAACAGCCCCTGTTGGTATAGGTCTACATATTGGAGAGCAAAGGCAATTCCTGTTACACCCTCTTAGGTTTTACTTTTCCCTGCTTCTCAAGAACAGTAAGCCAAACATAATGGGAAAGGAAAAATTCTCAATTATTTCTATAACTTTGTTAGAGACAGAAAAATACATTTTTATTTATGCCTATTTATCCTCTGAGCTTAAACTACTCCTGAAGAGGTTGAGCAAAGAGCCAGCGATGCTAATGCACTGGACCAACAGGTGATTTTAATTTACTTGCTATAAATTGTTGAGGGGGACCTACGCTAAGCCTGTTCTCATTAATTCATCGACAATCTCCTTTCCTGGACTGAAAGTTGCTGATTTTACAGATAGGATTCGGAATGAAAGGTTGAACTGAGCTGAATATGGAATGTTAGCTTTTTGTGGACACTATTGGGATATTCTCCCATGGGACCCAATACATCAACAATCCTCCAGTTTATAGAAACCGTAAAATAATGCTGGGGGAAATTATTGTGGTTTTCAATATTTTCTCCAACTGAATAAGTATAAAACTTTACCACTTTTTAGGACACTTATAAATAGCTAAACTTTATTCTGAAATCTCTGAAACCTAGAGTATAAAGAAACTGCCACATATTATAAAATAGGTGTCAACAATATGTTTCTATCAAGCTGCCCAGATTCACTTATCTCTGGGAGCAGGAATTCATTCCATAGGTAATTATTTAATTCCTATTATATTTAAGACACTATTATTTAGTAATGAAAACCAGATGAACATGATATGGTCCCTGTGAAGTTCAAGGACCTAAAAGGGGGTAATATCCTAAAGAAAACCCATAGCAGATTTCAAGGCTTTGAAGTATTCTGTTTTCATTTGTTCTCTCACCTGTGACTTAATCTTTCTTTTCATTTATCTTAAAGTATCATAAAGTAGTCTTAGGCATATCTGTTGCCTCAATTAGGGGCATAGAACACATCCTAACAGATAAGAGAACAGTAAGGGTCAGAGATCTGTGAAGCTTCAGAGCTAATTAGGAAAAGCATGAATGCTATTAAGTGTAAGGTCAAAGATAGCCACGGTGCACCCCTGGCAAAATGGCATGCATCCAGAATCACGCCAAATGCTGTCCTAAGTTCCCGACTCCAGCACCTTCGTCGCCTGAATCGAATTTCTCACTGCCATCTCTGTCTGCCCCTGTCGAAGAGGCAGTTGTGCAGACTGGTTGTGAGCAAGGACCAGAGTCTTAGAATGATTTCAAATCTTGGCTTTGTTTCTTTCTAATTATGTGACATTAGTCAAGGCCTCACTCCTATGTAGAGAAAATCTAATTCAAAACATAGTGAAAACTAATATTCTTTTAGTAGAGTATATTCTTGCACATAAAAACTGAGGTGGGTGGGAATAGGGGAGTGAGATTTAATTTTTTCACTTGATACACATTTAAGATGTATGAAGCATACATATTACGATTCAACATGGAGGGGAAAAGAAACTAGATTCTCCTTGAAATTGATCTGTTTCAAACTCCAAAGCAAGTCAGGTAGCTTGCACTCTGGCATTCAGAAAATTATAACCATGGTATTATAATTCCAGAAGCAAAGGTAACAATAATAAACATCCATTACAACTGCTACTTTCTCAGTTTCCCTTTCCAGCAAAATCAGTGAAAACAAAAACAGTTCCACAAGTCTAAAAAGGCTGAAAACTCCATTCTGAAGCTCTTTGGTGTCTTCAGCCTAAAACATCCTACGTTTTTCACCTCCAGATAGTAGTACTTAGGTTTCAAGATTACCGTGAAGATTAGAAGTAATATCTGTAAAGCACAAAATCTCGCTTGTGGCAGGTATTCATGGACCACGCTGTTACTCTATCTGCTGTATGTCTTCATGGAGTGGTAGGTTCTATTGCATGGACATGGGAACACAATAAAGAGGCATTTCTTTTACTACTCAATTTGAGAATGACTCCTTGACCAGCCTGTCCAGATCAGCAGACAGGCCTCTTTCTTGATGCCTTCACCCCATGCAAGCACAAGCTCAGGGACACACACCACCACCATTATCCAGAGGCCACAGGGTATGTTACTCATGCCAAGTACTTGGCCCTGGATAACTCATCATCCAGTGAAAAGTCGTGCTAGTTTACCAATAGTTGCATTCCCCGACAGCAGCTGCTACTGCCAGCACGCAGCTGCGCCATGTTCCAAGATGGCTGAACAGCTGCAACAGCTGCCTGGGGTGAAGAATCGAGGTGAGGCCAGAATGAACCTTTCATCAGAATTTAATGCAGCCAAGGGGAGCGCTAAGGCAAAGAAGTTGTTTGGGGTCTCAAATGGCACACACCACGTGATAAATAATGAAAGAGGGGCAATATAATCACACTGCAAACAGCGCCAAGCCAAGAATAATCATTTATTTGATAACATAAAAGCTAGTCATTTTATCTGCCTGTATACTTGCTAAATAAATAGTATTCAAAAAACAGTATGGAGTTGCATATCACTGTATGTGGTAGAAAGAGTGAGGACTGTGGAGTCAGCCCAGTTGGCACCTGCACAGTGACATATGGCTGCACGAGCTGGACAAATAGCCCGACCTCCCTAAGCCTCATTCGGCTCATGTATAAAATTGGCGTAACACATAGTTTTTACATACAATACATATAATGCCTGGTTCATAGTAAGCATTCCATAAACATTAGCTCCTGTGATGTATAGTTATTCTTTGTAAGCAGCAGTTTTCTCCTATGAAAAATCAGTATAATGTCTATGTAAGCTTGTTATGAGAATTAGAAATAGCACTTATAAGTAACTGGCAAATGGTTGATGTTCAAAAATGTAAAAATTCATACTTTGGGGATGGCAGAGGGAAATTTAAATTGCAGTTAATGGAAATTGTGTGCTCTAGCTGATTTCCTATGGCTTCAATCCTCTAAATTACAAAGCAGTACTGGTCAGCAGAAATATAACACAAGACATGAATGTAATTTAAAATTTTCTAGTGATCATACTTAAAAAGGGAGAAATGGGTAACATTAATTTATTAAACCAAATAAATCTAAAATATCCATTTCAACAATAATCAATATAAAATGCTATTTATATATTTTATTCTTTTAAAAGATCGTCAAGATCTGGGGTCTATTTTGTGTATACGGTACATCTCAGATTAAACTAGCTAGATTGCAAGTTTACATGTGCTAGTGGTTACTATTTTGGGCAGCACAGATATTGTCACTTGACATTCATCTAAACAGTCAGCTTTGGAATCAATCCTGTCCTCAGACAGGAGACACTTGAGATCCTAAGTTCAATGTCCAAGGTGACTTAGAATAGTCATTCTCTTCTTAAACGGGTCTCCCCTATCTCCAGTTCCATCAAGCTTCTGTTATTCAGATCCTACCTCATGGCACAGTCTCCCCAAGACTGAAGGATTTACAAGAACAAGAGGCCACAGAGCTGAAACATCACCCCACTGCTAAGTCCACTTACCAAGTCTCTATGGTTTTGCACCATGAAACACTTGTTCACATCTGTATTCCCCATATATCACCATCCTGCTTAGAGCCCACCTCCAGAGTATCTCCTAAAAGATAAGCATCACATACTGGTCTACAAATGGACAGAGTCCTGGAGACGGAAAGCCCTCAATGATCATGTAGTCAGAGGGCACACCACAGAGGAAGGCTATAACAAAATTGTGGAAATGATGGTAGAGGAGTGGTTTCAAAGGCTCTAAGGATAGAATTCTGTCAGATCTGCAGACTGCCTTGCCCCAGTCTTGCTTAGGATGTACACAGACTGGACTATGTGGCGAAGGGTTAGAAATCATGGCATGAAAAACATAAAATAAGCCGGAGAGCAAGCTTATTTATCGGCTGGTGAGTGGACAAGACGAGTTTCTGCGACTGTCCAAAAGAAGTCAAAAACTTCTTACCACCCAGCACTGCCACTCACACAGACTGGATTTTTGTGCAGTACAAGCACACAGTCAGTCCGCTTGTGACTGACAGTCCTGGGACAGGTCAGATGAATATAAGCAAAATGTTCTCCATGGCAGAGTAGAAACAATTGATTTGGGGAGGGGAATATTGCCAACTAAGTGGAGGGAATTGACAGTGAGTTTGTCAACAGTATCCTAGGGAATAACAATTTTGTAGGGTGATGAGATGTGGAAAAGGGTCAGGCAGGAAAGGAGAAGGGAAATACAGGATTGAAACTGAGATGAAGTCAAGTCAGGAGATTGGAGGATGGAAGGAAGGCTAAATATAAATTCCTCCATAATCCTCAAGACATTGTGGGGGACACTTGGTTTTTCTCAAAATATGCAAGATGTGGGTTTGAGTGTATTCTATTTAAATCTTAAATGCTCAAGTTCCTTGAGAAGACACAGGCAGATAGATGATTTCTTGCTTATATACACACTGACTGACCAACCATATACTCTGGTTGACCATAAGCCCTGGATACTTAGTATATACCTGCTGAATAAATGGATTATGGTTTAGACTAACAATTGACTCTTAAATTTGGCTGTTATCAGAATTACCTGGAGAAGTTAATAAAAACAGATTTATTCACCTTAACCACAGAGATTCTGGCAGTGTAGGTGGGGGGTGAGGCCCTAAAACTCACACTTTTAATGAGAGTTCCAAGTGATTCCATTTGGGAACAGCTAGGCCCAGGTACAATTCCAGAATCTTCCAGTCCTAAGATTTCATGTCTCTGATCAGAAATTAGATCATTCCAGGCAGTACTGAGAGCCCTTTATGCAACCTGTGATCTTCAAAGACGGGCTGGGAGAATCAACTGCCGCAGCAAGTCCTCAGAGCTCACTAAAGTATCTTCACTCAATGTTGGTGGACCAATGTTGGTGTATCAATGAGAGCCCAGGATTTTTCTCTAGCTGGACCCTAGCATAGATGAAAGTTGATGTCTAAAGTCAACCTCCTAAACACTGAGTAAAAAATATATGCTTACCTGGTAAAACTGTCCATTTTTACTGATTATTGATGGAACAGCCCCTGTTGGTATAGGTCTACATATTGGAGAGCAAAGGCAATTCCTGTTACACCCTCTTAGGTTTTACTTTTCCCTGCTTCTCAAGAACAGTAAGCCAAACATAATGGGAAAGGAAAAATTCTCAATTATTTCTATAACTTTGTTAGAGACAGAAAAATACATTTTTATTTATGCCTATTTATCCTCTGAGCTTAAACTACTCCTGAAGAGGTTGAGCAAAGAGCCAGCGATGCTAATGCACTGGACCAACAGGTGATTTTAATTTACTTGCTATAAATTGTTGAGGGGGACCTACGCTAAGCCTGTTCTCATTAATTCATCGACAATCTCCTTTCCTGGACTGAAAGTTGCTGATTTTACAGATAGGATTCGGAATGAAAGGTTGAACTGAGCTGAATATGGAATGTTAGCTTTTTGTGGACACTATTGGGATATTCTCCCATGGGACCCAATACATCAACAATCCTCCAGTTTATAGAAACCGTAAAATAATGCTGGGGGAAATTATTGTGGTTTTCAATATTTTCTCCAACTGAATAAGTATAAAACTTTACCACTTTTTAGGACACTTATAAATAGCTAAACTTTATTCTGAAATCTCTGAAACCTAGAGTATAAAGAAACTGCCACATATTATAAAATAGGTGTCAACAATATGTTTCTATCAAGCTGCCCAGATTCACTTATCTCTGGGAGCAGGAATTCATTCCATAGGTAATTATTTAATTCCTATTATATTTAAGACACTATTATTTAGTAATGAAAACCAGATGAACATGATATGGTCCCTGTGAAGTTCAAGGACCTAAAAGGGGGTAATATCCTAAAGAAAACCCATAGCAGATTTCAAGGCTTTGAAGTATTCTGTTTTCATTTGTTCTCTCACCTGTGACTTAATCTTTCTTTTCATTTATCTTAAAGTATCATAAAGTAGTCTTAGGCATATCTGTTGCCTCAATTAGGGGCATAGAACACATCCTAACAGATAAGAGAACAGTAAGGGTCAGAGATCTGTGAAGCTTCAGAGCTAATTAGGAAAAGCATGAATGCTATTAAGTGTAAGGTCAAAGATAGCCACGGTGCACCCCTGGCAAAATGGCATGCATCCAGAATCACGCCAAATGCTGTCCTAAGTTCCCGACTCCAGCACCTTCGTCGCCTGAATCGAATTTCTCACTGCCATCTCTGTCTGCCCCTGTCGAAGAGGCAGTTGTGCAGACTGGTTGTGAGCAAGGACCAGAGTCTTAGAATGATTTCAAATCTTGGCTTTGTTTCTTTCTAATTATGTGACATTAGTCAAGGCCTCACCCTCTCTAAGCTTTAGTCCCTCACCTATAAAATGGAGATGATAATAACAAGTATTCAAAAAATTCAGGATTAAATAAAATAATGACTCTAGAGAGTTTGCACAGGCCTGGCTGCGATGACAACAACTCCCAGACTATGACGGCTAATCGGAGTAGCCTGTGCTCCCATGAAAATTACACTCTAGGAGGTACAAGAGGAATAAAATCAGAAAAGACAGAGTTGGCAAGCCCAGCTGGAGTGGTCTTGGAGGCTGTAGCACTTAAACCTGGCTTGCACATGGCTGAGTGAAGAGAACCGTATGTCCAGAATTCAGGTAGTAATATCAACAAAAGTGCTGAAGCATCACAACAAGAAACATGTGTGAAGTAAGTAGATGGCACCATCTGTTTTGTTCAGAAACAGCCTTTCGAAAACATAGTCTCTAATCCTTTATCGGAAACCCTTGAGGTCAGGCGTGTTTTGGAATTCAGAATGTTTCAGATTTTTAAAAAGGGAATGCAGTTCACATACTATATATAAAAACACACCCTGTAGGCTCTGGGCTACACCTAGTAATCAAACACAGTAGTACTTCCACATCAAACATGCAAAATTTTTGCACAAAGTGACAGACATGAAAGACATAAATGGCCTCATGTCAGGTTTTGCCACCAAGTGCATTAAGGAAAAACATCCCGTGTTCAGAACTTTTGAGATTTCTGAATGGTGGCTAAAATATTTGGGGTCCATAGAGGGAGACACAGCCTGAAAGGCATGTCAGGAGCATATTATAAGAAGCTGAATGCCCGGCAAGGGTGTCAGCTTCCAGCAGAAGCTGATGGAACATCCTTATGAGTAACTTCACACATTGAATTATTAGTCATTTTAATGTCTGTTTTTGAAAATAAAATGGTTGTTTCTATGTTTTAGTCTATGAATTTTACCTCGCAGCTTTTGTGTTAATGTGTTCGTCCATCAATCGAGTCTTGTTATTCTTCCGTGACAGGCAACAGACCTATTCTACACTGTAACTCGACTATACCTCTACTACTATTTTTTAATTTATAT